ATATATATATATATATATTTTAAAATTGAAAATGACGTATCCATCCACTCACATACGAGAAGAAAAGAATAAAAAAGAGAAGAAAAGAATAAAAAAAAAAAGGAAGAAAAGAAACGTACTCCACTCACCTATAATAATCCACTAATAAAAAATTATTATTATTAATGTATAATAAATAATAAACATATATTACAATAAAAATATTTTTGTGATGTTAATTCAGTGTTAATATAATATTATTACGATGTAGTTATGATATTAAATAAATGTAAAACATTTTTGTAATATTAATTCGATATTAATATGATATTATTATGATATAGTTACGATATTAAATAAAGTGTCAAATATTTTGTAATATTAATTCAATGTTAATACAACATCACTACAATGTGGTTATGATAATATCAAATAGATGTAAAATATTTTTGCAATATTAATTCGATATTATCGCTGTTTTCAAATTAGTGCGACCCTCTTACATGTCACCTCCTAAAGAAATCGGTTTTCGCAAATGTGGAAAACTCAGAATTTTTCTGAATAACTTTATAGAAAAGGTCTGATTGCTAGTGATTTCTGGAGGAAATCTCAGGAAATTTTCAATTATTTAAATAGTTTACTTATAAGTGAGTGATAAAACTTTATATAACGTAAACACTTTTTTATAAGCAAACTACTTTTATAACTGAGAATTTCGCAAGATTTCCTCTGGAAATCACTAATAATTGACCCTTTTCTATGTAATTATTCAGGAAAATTCTGGGATTTCGCAAATTTTTGGAAATCGATTTCCTTAGGAGGTGATACGTGGGGTCGCACTAATTTGAAAACGGCAATAATATAATATCACTATAATGTGATTACAATATCAAATAAAATGTCAAATATTTTGTAATATTAATTCAATGTTAATACAATATCACTACGACATGGTTACGATATCAAATAAATGTCAAATATTTTTGTAATATTAATTTAATTTAATACGATATTACTACGATGTGATTACATGATAATATTTACATTGCATAATGATCGCAGCGATATCGGCATATCACAGAGATATCGAACTAATCAATGTCGAATAAATACAGTTACGACTAACTTAACGATGTCGAATCTATTTTTTATCAAAATATCGTAATAATATCATAATGATATCATTGCAATATCTAATCAATATTGATTGTAAACTCCAAGTTTCAGCAAAGTTAGTAATAACGTCTATTTCTTCTAGTGTTTTATCATTTTCTGCATCATTATTTTCAGTATTTGGAATTAACGCAGCTAAAATATCTTCATTTGATAATTAGACCGCACCAATTCAATTTTTCATTTAACATAACCCCCTCCCCCTGTTTTTGGATTTTTTATGTAAAAAAAATACATGTAATTTAGGCCGGAATTAGACAAATCTTTAAGTCTTGGCCAAAATTATTATCCAAAATTTTTGCTCACTCTTTTGGTCAAAATTTTGGCCAAAATTAATGGTAATTCTGGCCATGTATTGTATTTTATGTATTATTTTTTGTCCCCCCCTCCCTAGATTGGGACCTCCTATGTTATATTAAACAAAGAATTGGCTTGGAGCAGTCTTAGTATTCTATTGGTATTTCATTATTAATATAAATAAAATTTTCAGCTGTAATGATCTTTTAAATTTGCAAACAATAAACTTTTTCTTTTCTTTGTTTTTTCTGCTTCTTTTTCTTTACCTTTTCTACTTGGCGGCATTTTAAGAACAATGAAAAAAAAAGTTGTATTACGATAAATTGATTAAAAAAAAGGAAATATATTACCAAAATGATTTTATAATGATTTACATATATAATTAATTATATCATGTGATTTTCTTATAACGAATATAAATTTATATTACAAGTTTTATATCAAACTTTTAAAAACTTTACTATATCTAATATCAAGATTTTATTAGTGACTTTACTATAATGAATAAAATTTATTATTGATTGGATTGGGAGAATAAAAAAAGTTTACTATAAGCAAAATTTACTATAACAAACTTTACTATAACAAGCTTTGACTGTACTAATATTAGCATAGTTATTTAGTTCTTTACTTAGATATATTATTAACATTATTCTAATAAATTTGTAAATGTACTGCGGTTATTAAAAAAAAAACAATAATTACAATATTAGTATGGTGATTGTTACCTTTAAATCACACTAATATTGTATGACTTCAAACTATAAGAATCCAGATAGAATTGAATAAACTATCAGATTTTATTTTATTAAAAAAAATTAAATTGCTTTCTTATTAGAAGGATTACCTGTATATTAGTTTCTGCAACCTGAATTCTGAAAAATTATAAAAAATAAGAAAAATTCCAATTGGTAACCTTAGATATTCTTGCATTAATGACTATTATATCACTATTTTTAAAAACCATTTTTTCAAATTCTAAATAATTCAGAATGCAAGAATTTTAAAGTTATTAACAATAAAAAGGGTAATAATATATATATAAATTTCTAGATATGTCTTTATTTAGGAGAATAAAATATATATATGATACCATATTGCAATTACAACTACTCAAACTTATAATGAAAGAAGAATAATGGCTAAACTATTAATTCAAAGGCTGAATAAAATCTTGAAGGATGAACTGAAAAAAATATCTGTTGGCAATAAAAAGGCTACTTTCAGAAAAAACAAAAAAATACCAAAAAGTAAATAAATGCCAAATTTAAAAATTTATGATAATATCTGATATAGAGTATAGATTATTGGTTTTACTTTCTAAAAAACCAAAAAAGTTATAAATTTAATAATATGAATAATTTGCTACGATTGAGCTTGGGTATTGGATCGTATTGATTGAAATAATTTTTTTCATACTTCCTTAAAACAACTAAATAAAAGTTTTCCGCTAATTGTACCTGATTCACAATTTTGTCTCAATCTGAACTCTGGATGGCAAGAAAATTGAGAAAATAATACTAAAAGAACGTTAGCTAAGAGTACATTATTTATTGACACAGAAGACGGCCATATCAAATAGTGAAAAATATATATTTTTTGTTCCTCTTTCAGAAAGTATTTTTGCTGGGATCTGTCTTTTTGAATTTACTATATCTAAATAAAAATAGTTTATTTTTTATTTATATTATAGGTATTAAAAATGCTTTATGGTAATTCTTGAAAAATATCGGGTTTTCCTATTCTTACCCGAAATACACAAGTTTAAAATGTTATACCGGACGTTTTATTGTTCTATATGAACATATATAGTAAGCCACGTAGGATGAACATCAAATTTCGTAATATTCATATTTTTTATGGTATAGCATTGTGAAAAAAAAAGAAAATCTTTGATTTAGCATGTTACGAAGTATTAAAAGAGTAATTTAACACATTTTTTTTTAATTACAAAAGCCACAGATTAGTAATTTAATTTAATAATTTAATAAGAAAAAAAAAATTACAGATTATAAATAAATAAACGGAAAATAGACCAGTAATTTTCCAAGTTCACACAGACTATAAGAATTTAGATATACATTGTGTAAAATTATAATGTATTTCCTATGGTAATCGTCTAGACTACGATTCCACGCTTTTGATCCTTACGTCCTCCGTCACGGTTACGTACAGGGTAATCAGAAGATTTTCTGTATCCTCGTTCAATAATGTCACGCTTTTGATCCTTACGTCCTCCGTCACGGTTACGTACAGGGTAATCAGATGATGTTCTGTATCCTCGTTCAATAATGTCACGCTTCTGATCCTTTCGTCCTCCGTCACGGTTACGTACAGGGTAATCAGATGATGTTCTGTATCCTCGTTCAATAATGTCACGCTTCTGATCCTTACGTCCTCCGTCACGGTTACGTACAGGGTAATCAGATGATGTTCTGTATCCTCGTTCAATAATGTCACGCTTCTGATCCTTTCGTCCTCCGTCACGGTTACGTACAGGGTCTTCAGATGATGTTCTGTATCCNTCTTCGTTCAATAATAATGCGTTCAAAAGAATTTTCGGTGGGATGTCGTTTATCAAGGTTAAGAACATGAGCAGAAGAAATTGATGTATCAGCATTAACCAGGAATGGACCGACCACTGCGGTCATCAAGAGAACACTTAAAAGAAATAAGTAATTAAGATACATTATTCTCATGTAAAGATGTTCAAGGGAAGTTAAAGAAAGAATAGAGTGGACAAAATAACAATTTAGGATGAATATAAAGGGGAAAAAAAAAATAAGACTGACGGGCAAATTTACTGTCTTTATATAACTTAACAAATAATATTAATGAATTAATATTTCACTGCACCAAACAATGTATATTTTTTTTTTTTAATTATGATACCATATTTGTAAATTATTTTATTATCTATGATCCAAGAATAGACTTTAACAATTTTAAAAGAATGTGATGCGCGTAATATAGAATTTTATTAATTTTATTATAATGTTATTATTCATACGGTTGTTTATATTAAATTTTCCCTTGTTTGCCTTCTTTTCGAAATGAAGAAAACTGCTTTTCAAGTCCAATTTTGGGAATTCTGATCAATTTAATTTGTTACAGTGAAACCTAAACACACTTTGTATTCCAATTTTAGGAAAAGAGCGACGATCTCAAAAACTTTTTGCATTGTAACTAAATAGTTCATTTACGATGGCGCAGCATTGAAACGTATACGATCACGCACACCATTGATCATTCATTATTGTCCATTATTTTTTTAGTTTTAATTATTTTTATAAACTCTAAAAATTCTTTTAACGATCCTCTCTTCAATTGGTACTTGAAATATTTTATAATCGACACGTTAAAAATGTTGCAAAATTTTGTTATACATATATGGTAGACGCACTTTATTGAAAAAAAAATGGCCATGCAACATTGTGACATTGTGACAATCACGTGGAATCAAATATGTTTTAACTGTTTTAACTCGTTTAATTGATAAGACTCAAGAGTTTACAAAAAAAAACAAGAAAAATAACAAGATAACAAAAGGAATATAAAAAAGGAAAGAAGGAACAAAAAAAAGAAAATATAATTCAAAAAGTTACGAAAAAAACTAAGAAATAAATCAAAAAAGTTCTACAAAACCCAAGAATTTTTCGGAAAGAGCAAGCAAAAGAATTAAAAAAAAAAAAATATTTTTAGAAATACGAGTGACATTTTTTTTAAAGATTCATTCTTGCTCTTGCTCTTCCGGTTGTCGTTTCTTTTCGCCAATAGTCGCCTCATGTTTAGGATCCAAAGATTCGCCAGTACGTTGTTCATGCAATTCGGCTAATTTCTCGGCTGCATGAAGACTAAAAATTAAAAGAATTCGAAACAAATGTTTATTAAAAAAAAAACTAACAAAAAAAAAAAAAAAAATTTATACTTAACCGTCCTTCTTGAGTATTACTTGGATTATGAGCTGCTGCTTTGTAAGAGCGTTCAGAACGTGCCTCAGATGTATCAGCTATGATACGTTGAGCTTGGCTTTCAGAGTTATCGCTCATGGCTGTAGATTGAGTGTGATTGATTTTGATATTTGGTTTTTATATTTTTTTGGGTAACAGAAAAATTTATTGTTTTTTTTTGTATCGAAAAGAAGGTGGAAATGGCAATCTTTTATAGGAATTTTTTCTTTGTTGAAAGGCGTAATTGGATAAGAAAGCTAGAAACTTTTTAAGTAAAAAACTTTTAAAAAAAATTACGAACGTATGATTATATTTTAGCGCTAATTGCCGTGATCATCACGCGGAATAAAATCAATATTTCGTAATGTTTGTTGAAATCAATTTTCGATGTGATAAAGACGTAATAAACTGTTAAGAAAGGATTCGCGAGTTTGAAGAACTTTGATATTTAAATAAAAATGGTTTTAGGAACAATCGAAATTTTCGCGCGGAATAAATCAATATTTCGTAATATTTATTCTTATCTAAGATATGTGAGAGAAAGACGTAATAAACCTTAAGAAAGGAATCGCGAGTTTTTACTTATATTAACGCAATAATGACGAAATTTAGAATTAAAAGCTCAAGATTTGAAAGATTATTAATTTTTTTTTTATTTTAATGATATTTTTATCAGGGTATTTCGAAAAAATGCAGTAATTTACTCGCCGAGTAATTTAAATGATAATCGTTATCTCGTGAAATTATGTCACGTGACTGGCGATTATCTGTATTACAGTCTTACAAACATTTTTTTTTTCGATTGCACTATAAATTTACAATCCATAAAAATTTCGATTCTTCCTTTTCGCTTTTAACGATTCATCGTCAAGAAGTAAGCTACTCAATATGGTAAATGTCTCAGTAAATAACTTTTTGTTATAATGTTTATATTTTTGAATATATTTTTGTTAAAAGTGGCTAAATTAAATATATTAAATAATCATTAAATTTATTTAATCGTAATTTAATGATTAATCTTTTTTAGTCTCTCGTTGTACCAGATAAGAACCAATTTCAGCATATTCTTCGTTTGTTGAATACTAATGTTGAGTGAGTAAATTATTAATTTTTTTTTTAAAAAAAAAGTCCTATGATTCTTAACGATTCTATGGTTATGATTTAATTTCAACTTTGTTTTATTTTTTAGGGGCAAGACTAAAGTTATGTTTGCCTTGACTGCCATCAAAGGTGTCGGTCGTAGATATTCTAATCTTGTTTGCAAAAAAGCCGATATCGATTTGCGTAAGAGGTATTTTTCTAATCTCTTAGATTCATAGATTTTTATAAATTATCTTCATTCAAAAAAAAAGCAATTTTTTAATCGAGAAATATTCTCTCTTAAATAAAGAGCAGGCGAATTAACCAATGAAGAATTAGAAAGAATTGTAACAATTATTCAAAATCCAACACAATTCAAAATTCCAAATTGGTTTTTAAACAGACAAAAAGACATAGTTGATGGAAAATATTCTCAGATTTTAGCTAACGGGTTAGAATCTAAATTACGTGAAGATCTAGAAAGATTGAAGAAAATTAGAGCTCATCGTGGTTTAAGACATTATTGGGGTCTTAGAGTACGTGGACAACATACTAAAACTACTGGTAGACGTGGTAGAACTGTTGGTGTATCTAAAAAGAAAGGTTAGTTTTACAAAAATATATATATATATATATATATATATACAATACTTGGATGAGATGACTAAAAAATATATCTACCTTATCTACATTGGCTGAATGAATGATATTGTTGAATATTAACTATACTGATCCTAAAATGAACCAATCAACTTATTATTTATATCTCATATTATATCATTAACATATTATCTCTCTCTTTTCTATAGGTTAATCCACACAAAGTGAGACTTTTTTTCATTTACTATTATCAGTTCTTATTGAAAAGTAAATTTATTTTTTAAAAAAACATAAAAAAAATTTACATATAATAAAATTCAGAGTCTGATTTTATTTTATTTTTTAGAAAGAGCATGTTTTATTAAAATTAACATTAACTTCTGAATATCTCTTAAATTTATTGTCACCGCCGTAAAGAGAAATGAATAAAAAATTATAAATACTATTTTAAATTTAAATTACAAACTTTTGTTTATGACGATGATCTAGCTACTCATCCTTTTTTGAAAAATTATTTAATGTATCCGAGATATACATTTATGTGTTATCAATAAAATAAAAGTAAAAAGTAAAAGAAAAATTGAAGAGGAATTATATACAAATAAAAATAATTAACAGTTTCGTGTCTCCTTCAATTATAATTCAAACGAAAAAAATCGCTTTCTAATTGAAACTATTCCGAATGAGGCATAATTCTTCTTTTCTGCCGCATAGGAGAACGATGGTCGCTACTGACATGATCATTTAACTCTGGTATTGTATTAAAACTTTTTCCGCATCCATTATGACAACATTTAAAATGTGAACTCTCATTAAAAGACAAAATTTCAGGATCATTAAATTGAGGTTGGAAAATATTAAACATCGGTAATGGCTGATTATTGGAATCATTTGAGACGTTATTTATCCATGACTGCTCATTTAAACTAGGAGCGGTATCAGTGCTATCAATCTCCGCATGAGGTGATGATTGTGGATCTGAATCATCAGACCGTTGGTTATTCTGAGAATTTACTTTATGAGGTCCACGATATTTATCTGCGTCCTTCCTGTGGACATTTTTTTGATGATACTGTAAACCATTAGCCGAAACATAATTGTTTTTACAACCGGCAACTGGACATTTGAACGGTTTTACAGTTGTATCATGAGCTCCTTCTTCAGTATCATATTTATGGCCTGATGATCCCTTGGCATTATCAATATGATATTGAAGTCCATTAATATTTTTGTACTTTTTAGAACACCCCGCCAACGCGCATCGAAATGGTTTATCGGCATTATTCGTCGGATGAGCCGCTTTCATGTGATAATATAAGCCATTAGCACTTGGAAAGCTTACTTCACATCCTGTTACGCCACACCCATAAGCTTTGACGTTTGTTTCAACCTCGGTTTCTTGTGATGGTTGAGATTGAGGTTGAGAATTTCCTTGATCATCCAAAATATCCAAATTCATTTGATTATTCGAAACTGAAGTACTTGGTGATGATAACAAGGATGCGATAGTGGGACCGCTTGAGGAAGTTGAAGGTAAATGTGTCATAGTATCAGGTGTATTATTTTCTATGCTTGGGGGCGCAATTGATGATGGAATTGACGATGTAGAATTGTTCGTTAAATTTGACGATAAATTTGATGGTAACAATTTCAGTAAACTTGTTGCGGAAACATTATTATTAGATTTTGATGGATAATTTGAAACATAATTTGAAGATAAATTAGATTTTGAGCTCAAGTTGGGTTGTAAGTTTGATTGTAAATTTGATTGTAAATTAGGTTGTAAATTTGATTGCAAATTTGCAGATAAATTTGGAGATGCGTTATTTAATGTTAAGCGTTGTTGCTGCAAATTCGAATGAATATGTGACTGTTGTAAATTTACATTCTGACGTGACATAATTGAAGACGAACGTGACTGTACATGAGGTTGTGTATTAGACTGTTGTTGCACATTTGATTGCATATTATTAGTCGTCAAATTGGACTGTGCATTTGATTGTAAATTTGGTTGTAGTACATTTTGAGGCGTCGAGTGTAATGTTGTCGATAAAGAAGAGGTTGATGTATGAGGTGAAGAAGAAGAGTTCGTCGTAGTTATATCATTAGGAGTTATGATAATCATATCCATTGAAGGATCTTTCTGTGCTTTCTTAAGTCTTTGAATTTTTCTCCACCTATTTCGACAATGTAGTCCTGGACGTCCTTGAAAAAATTGAGCAATTTGTTGCCATTGACTTCCAAATTCTGAATATTTTTGCATTAATAAAGCATCTTCCTGATCTGTCCACTCTGTATGATCAATATCAGGATCTAGACATTCTTTCCACCTTTTAGCGCATTGATCATCTGTACGACCTGGAATAGACTCGGCAACTTTACACCAAACCCTATTATGTTTTTCAACAGCTTTTCTTAATAAATCGTCTTCTTCTTCAGTCCACGGGCCTTTGCGTAAATTTGGATCCAGCGAATGAAACCAACGTTTTCTACACATTTTGTTCGTTCTACCGGGGACACATGCAGCAATTTTTGTCCATCTTTCTGACCTGTCACCATAAAGTTGAACAGCAAGACGAAGTAAATTATCTTCATCTGCAGTCCATGCTGTTTTATCAGTTTTAATTTTGTATTTAGGTCTAGAAGGGCGGGGTCTAGTTTGAGGAGTGGGTGGTAACGGTATTGGGCCTGCAGGGGCAATTCTTGGAAGAATAGGAGGTAATGTATTAGTTAAAGTGCTAGCGGTATTGGTATTGTTGTTTCGATTATGGGTTACGTCTTGTTGATACGCATTTATAAAATTTGGTGGAGGCAACGCAGGTCGGTGTAAAAGAAAAGAGTCTTGTGGTTGAGTATTATTGTTATACTATAGAAGAATAAAATATTAAATTTACAAATATTTTTATTTTACCTATTATTCTTTAGCATATTTAATATTTATACTTCAAAAAAAAATAAAAAAAAAAAGCTTACCATGAAGATAAAAAAAAAAATTTTTTTTTTTATTCCTTGGTCGTCTACAAAACGCGCAGTGAACTTTTCCAGTGTACTCGAGAAAAGTTAAATAAAAAAAAAAATATTTTTTAAATTTTTTTTTTATTTTTGAGAAACTTCTTTTAAAGTCATACAATAAAAAAGGATTCTTCAAATCAGATATTCCAGTCTACTATAATAATATTTGTCATAAACAGCCAAAGGACTCAGGATTGTCTCAGGACTGACATTTTTAGTTATAGTTAGTTCATTTAATATCAATACAACTGTAGATCTCAGTTCGAGAAATTTCCTTTTAAAGACAAGACATGAAAGTGAGTTCTAAGCCACTACGAGTGTAACATGTAACGGCTTTTGTGATACCATTAATGAATTACTGCGTCGCATATAAGAATTTGTAAAAATATTTAGAATACAACAAATGACAAAATCGTTATTAGAGTTCTTTTCCAGTCCACCTAGTAGTGGTAATAACCCGATTTGGCCTTCACTTTATTGGCCTCCATTCTCGTATAAAATAATACTTAATAATGCACCAGGTTCGTTTACTATTTAGGACAACTGACAATTTTTATAAAACGACTTCTTAACTAAACGAAAAATTACAAAATTTATAACAATTTAGAAATATGGTTATTTACAGTATTGTGGACTATAATATTTTTTACCGTGATATACGGTTTAGCTGGAATATGGGCTTGGTTTGTATTTCATAAATATAGATGGTCATTCTTGGTTCCAATTGGGTTTGTTACTGTCGCATTATTAACTGGTTTCGTGAGCGGAACTACTGTCGGTTTGTAATTCTTATTCTTTATTTATTCTTTTTTTTTGATTTTGTAATCGAGACTGATTTTGCTGATTAATCTCATAGGGTTAGTATTAGCAGCTATTTACACATTTGGTTCTTTTAAAATATCAGTTTGGATTCCATTTTTATGGGGTTTAATACAAGCATTGATTCTTCTTATGGGGTGTTATTCAACCATCACAACTGTTCTATAAGTGTATCGTATTCATTAATGCAAGTAAAATATTCTTTATTTGTAATTTTTTCCCAGATTTATATTCTTCGTTAATTAAATGAAAGTGTATATCATCACATTATCTATGAGACAAACCAGAGTACCAGACCGTGAAATATTATGATATACGATCTTTAGTTTGAATTATAAATTATGTAATTTTATATAAATGGCAAATCTGTAAAAAATGAGTTCAATATGCCCCCTTTTCTATTTATTTAAATCCTTTTGCTTTTTTGAAATTAAATCAATAAATTGAACAATTTTTTTTTGCTTGCTTATCAAGTTTCCTTCAGGGTTATTAAATCAGCACATTTTCTATTGATAAATCATAATTTAAAAATTATGCCACATAATATGATTCTCCTCATAGAGTCAATGGTTGGTTAGTAGTTTTTCTAGGTTGGTACTTGCTGCTGCCTAAAGCGTTTTCTTTCCCAAGGCTCCAACTCAAGTTATTATTTAGTTTCATTAAAAGTTTAAACAAGTTCTTGCTTCCTGTCTTTATTTATTCAAATAATTTTTGAATCTAACCATGCGTAAAATCTCTCTTAAAAATACTTATTGACGCGTCATAATGAAATTCGAATAATCAGGTAGTAGACTAGTAGTCAAACTCTTTAAGTTGCCTTTTTTATGAGCAAGATCGAAGTGATTCGTTCTCTGTCCATAAAAAGCAATCTAAAGAAGCTCCCTTAAATAAGGTCTAGATTCTAGAGAAGAATATACTATCTAGTGAATTCCTATCCTCAAGTTGATAATGAGGAGGAAGTTGTTTTTACTTTTATGAAGAACGTTAATTTAGATTTTATAACTCAGAAAAGGTAATTCGAGCATAGAAGTTTTTTTTTTTTTATTAAGTATAATTGTTTGAATGATATTTACAATGGAAGAATTTACCGGCTCAATGGATATTTTTTCTCTTTAGGATTTAAAGATATAAACTAAAGGAATTTGATCTTATAATGATTTTATGTTAATTTACAAGTTATAATTTTGTGTATTTTAAAAAATATATATAAAATAAAGAGCATGATCACCCCTTTCGTCATCATCATCATCGCCAGTCTTCTTTGATCTTTCTTATTAATATTGTTCTCATAAAAATTTCTCAAGTTTGCAACTATTAGGCCTCTATTGTGTGTTGAATCTGAAGAAAATCGTGCCCGAAAACTGCGCGATTCTTTCTTATCTATAATTTATGTCACTTATTGGTACAAAGTTGACATGCTGACCCACATATATAAAGTATATATTTTTGACCATTATTCTCATTATTCTTAGTTATTTTAACGCATTCACATTAATTGAGGAGACGCGTGATTTAGGTTATGTTGCACAAGATGCAACGTCAAGCTTATAAATATGAATTTGTTATTTGAAAACTCAAAAAATTGTAAAATTTTATTTTTATTATCTAGGAAGTAAAGATGCCCGGTCCAACTATCAGTACAAGCCGTTTAGAGAATAATTTAATGTATCTAGACGATTATTTAGATAGTAAGTATTATTTTATTCTCTTTTAGGCCATAAAATTTTTATTAAACTTTTACTCTCCATTTATAAGCACTAGAGTCTCTACCCGCAGAATTGCAGCGCAATTTAACATTAATGCGCCAACTCGACGCTAATACACAAGGTATGTTTTATTCTTCTGTAAAATTATCTGCTAGTTTTCCTTAACTAAAATTTTTATATTATTTCAGATGCAATAGACGGTGTTGCTATACAAGCTACTAACTTGTTGGATAACCTACCTGATCTTAGTCGAGAAGAAAAAGTGGAACAACTTAAAAAGCTTGGAAGTTTGTTAACTGACAGTTTAAAAAATGGAGAAGAGAGAGTTTCCTTGGCCACTTCAACATACGATACTGTACGTGATTTATTTTTGCTGCGCAAGCTTAGTTTAAAGAATAACTCATAAAATTGTATTAGGTTGATCGTCATATTAGAAGACTCGATGATGATCTTCAAAAATTTGAAGACGAACAAATGACAGGCCCGGGTAGAATTAGCCCAACAGCTGCTGCCAATGTTGCTCGCGATCAAGAGGTAACTCGCAAACAAAATCAGAAGAATGAAAAAGAAAAGAAAGAAAGCAAAGAAAAAAGGGCACAACAAAGTGAGGAAACAAGAAGTGATTTACTTTACCCTCTTTTATTATATATGCTGACAATTTATTTTATTTTGTAGATAACGAAACATCAAATCATAAAAGTAAAGTTCACTTTGTAACTTGTTAGCTTAATAAAAGAATAAGATAAATTAACACCTTCCATTCTCTGTATAGAGCGTAAGACCAACAAAGACACTGCTACTCCGCCGCCAGCGGCATCTCGGAATCATGGGGAGAAAGAACGGGAAAAACCAAACAAAAGAAAGAAGGAAAATAGTAAAAATAGCAAAACTAAAGCAACAGTAACAACAGAGAAAACGTATGTTATATACATATGACAAAGTTATATCAATTTTTGGATCTATTTAACTTGATTAAAAATGGTATACTTTTTTGACATAATTACTAGAAATGATGATACACAAGCTGCTGCAGATATGCCTATTGATCCTAACGAACCTGTTTATTGTTATTGTCAACAAGTCAGTTGGGGCGAAATGGTCGCTTGTGATAATAATGAATGTGAAATCGAATGGTTTCACTATCCCTGTGTTAGTCTCAAAGCTCAGCCGAAAGGCAAATGGTATTGTCCTGATTGTACAGAAAAACTTAAAATACGCAGAAGATAATTGTCTTGATTGCGGCTAAAAATAAATTGAGGACAACGAATTCTTTGTGAATTTATATTTAATACTACTTTGTTAATCCCTGCTAATAATATCCAAAATAAGTATATCGATATCTTATGTCACTTAACACTTTAAATATTTAAATTTTTGCTCTTGAAAATTCAGATTTATCTTGTTTTGGTATCATTTAAAATAAAATAAAGGTGTTTTCTTCGAAAAAAAATGTACAAATGTGGATCCAGAATTAATCTAGAAAGTTTCCATAATTGATATATTTCGTCATACTTTACCATAGTACATTGATCTCCATAAATTCATCAAGATCTTTCGACATTTCATCCATTGAGCTACTTATATTTCGTCGCGTTTTTTTGAGTTCACTGTTCACTGTTCACGAGCCTTAAAAGTGATACTAGCGATACTTTTGTTGAGATGTAAATATTTTTTGACATTTGATTAAAATAATATTTTTATATTTCTTAAAAAATTATACAAAACTTCTTTTATATTTGATAGGGCTTCTTCTGCCATACAACTTATCAACCCCAAGTCAGAAGTTGCTCGAAGAGGTCAAGCCCTTCAGCTTAATATAACTGCAGCAGTTGGCTTGCAAGATGTGTTAAAATCTAATCTTGGACCGAAGGGAACTATTAAAATGTAAGAATTATTTTATTTTAATTTTGACTTCAAAATTAATAATAAATATTACTTATATAGGTTGGTTGACGGTGCAGGTAGCATCAAGATTACTAAAGATGGTAAAGTTCTATTGAGTGAAATGGTAATTATTATTGATATTTTTTGTAGTAGTGATTTTTTTTTTGGTGGCATTTATGATTTCTAATTCGGATTGATTCAAGCAAATTCAAAATCCAACTGCGGCAATGATTGCTCGCGCTGCTACAGCGCAAGATGAAATCACTGGTGATGGCACGACGTCTATTGTTTTGTTGGTTGGCGAATTAATGAAACAAGCTGAAAGGTATATTTCTGAAGGATTACACCCTCGAATTGTTACTGAAGGGTTCGATTTAGCAAGAAAAGAATCATTAGAGGTATATATTTTTTATTCTGCAATCTGTCAATAATAATCTAATTTGAAACAACATATTTATAGTTCTTGGATAAATATAAAATTGAAAAACAAATTGATCGGGAAATACTTGTTAGTGTTGCCCGTACTTCTTTACGTACCAAAGTCCATACTGCACTTGCAGACAAGCTGACTGATGCTGTAGTTGATGCAGTAATGTCAATTAAACGAGATGATGAGCCAATTGATTTACACATGGTAGAAATTATGAAAATGCAGCATAAGACCGCTTCCGATTCTCGATTAATTCGTGGTTTAGTGTTAGATCATGGTGCTCGTCATCCTGATATGCCTAAGCGTGTAGAGGATGCTTATATATTAACATTGAATGTATCTCTTGAGTATGAAAAAAGGTAAAACAACCGATTCACAAAAACTTCTCTGATGTTTATATTATAAAAATTTTAATATTTTTTAATATTGTTATTATAGCGAAATCAATTCTGGATTTTTTTATTCTTCTGCTGAACAGCGGGAGAAACTTGTAGAATCTGAAAGAAAGTTTACGGATGAAAAAGTGAGAAAAATTGTGGAATTTAAAAAACAAGTATGTGGAGATACCAAAAAGGGATTTGTTGTCATTAACCAAAAAGGCATTGATCCATTATCATTGGACATTCTTTGTAAGAATGGCATTCTTGCATTGAGGCGTGCAAAGAGAAGGAATATGGAAAGGTATGATTAAAAGAATAACTTCGTTATATATAGTCTGAGATATAGATATAAATATGTGCATATATTTGACGAAAATTATTTTAGATTACAACTTGTTTGTGGAGGAATAGCACAAAATTCTGTGGATGATTTGACTCCAGAAGCCCTTGGATATGCGGGGCTTATTTATGAACACGTTCTTGGAGAAGAAAAATATACATTTGTTGAAGAAGTTAAAGATCCAAAATCTGTTACTATTTTAATTAAAGGACCTAATGCTCATACAATCACGCAGATTAATGATGCTGTCCGGGATGGATTACGTGCAGTAAAGAATGCAATTGAAGATAAAAGTGTAGTACCTGGAGCAGGAGCATTTCAGGTTGCACTTTCAATTCATTTGACTAAATTTAAAGATTCAGTTAAAGGAAGAGCAAAAATGGGTGTTCAGGCATTTGCGGATGCAATGTTGATAATTCCTAAAGTTTTATCACAAAATGGGGGATTCGATGCCCAAGATACTATTGTTGCTTTACAGGTAAGTTTAATAATAATTTATTTTGAATAATTGAATCTTTTCAAATATTTGTTTTTTTTTAGGAAGAATTTGCGGCAGGGCATACTGTAGGAGTTGATTTAAATACGGGAGGAACGTTTGATCCAGTTTTGGAAGGTATTTTCGATAACTATCGGGTTGTTCGTAACATGTTACATTCATGGTAAGATATGTTAATATTAGTAGTTTTAATAATATACTTCCGATAATAATGATGATAATTATAATTTTATTTTTAGTTCTGTAATTGCAAGCAACTTTTTATTAGTTGATGAAATTATGAGAGCAGGAAGATCAAGTTTAAAGAACGATAATATAGGAAATTAAATATAGTTAAATTTAATGAATTTCTTTTTTTTTTCAAAAAAAATAAAATAAAATAATAATTAAATAAATAAAAAGAAATGCTAAAAATAAAATTAACAAATTTATTTCATTATTGTCATTGTGTTATTATTTACATGAATATATTTTAAAAGACAATTTTCAGTGTCTTTGTTTTTCTTGTTGCGTTCTAATTACTATATAACAATCCTAGAAACCCTAAAACCCATACTGAATTTAATTATTTAACTATGTAACCATCAGAAAAAAGTTGGTTCATTGATTAATAAAGATTGTCTCTGAAATGAAAATGCAGTAATAAATTAAATTGTTCATAAATATAAATTAATTATAATTTATCTAAACGAAGAAGAACTAAAGCGTTCTGGTGGAGGAGATAGTAATGTTGTTGAAGAAGAGGCCATCCATGTTGCACGACGAGACCGTGGTTTGGATTGTAAAATACTTTTTGCGAATTCCAGTCTGTCGGAATCAGTTTGAAATCGATGTATTTCTTGTAAACTAGACCTCTTTTGACCAGTCTAAGAATAAAATTGGAGAAAATAATAAATAAAAAGGAACACATCATCATCAATACTTTAAGAAATAATTTACCTTATATTTTTCATATTGAAATATACCATGAAGACGTGACCGAGTTTGATCAAAAGTTTCACGATTAACTTTATCCATAAATGTTCTTGAAGGAGATGTAGTTTCTGGTAATATTGGTACATCTTTGTGATTTTCTATGTTGAATACTTTTGTATTGTTAGAGGAATTTGAAGAGTGAGAACAACGATTGGAGGTAGAAGGAAACTTGTGTGGCATTTTTTTATGATTAAAATCCGATTTTCTATCATTAGATGAGGAAAAATCCTTTGGCGACATTCCACAAGCTTGCATTTTTCGGGTAGTTATTTCATCCAAAGCTTTACGCAGATAATTTTGAAAAAAAGTGCCAGCACTCGCGAGAAATAAATTAACTTTAATATCACATTCAGGATGTTCCAATAAAAGTTCATAAAGCTCTTGAATACCCTAAAGATAAAGAAAAAAGATCAGTCTTTGTTTAATAAATATAAAAAGAATTTTAGTTTTATTAAAACGTACTTCTTGTGCCTTATCTAATTGGCCAATTTTGTTAAAAATTAAAGTGAGCTTTGTATTAAGGTCCCGTTCAGTTATAAAAGACGTTTTAAAGGAAACCATGGTTTGTTTAAAATAAAATTAATAAAGAAATAAGACAGAAAGAAAAATAAGAATAATGAAACAAAAAATTAAATAAAAGAAAATAATGTGCATAAAAAGTAAATTATGGAGCTAAATTGTTGGTGCGAATTTACGTTACTTTATATAAAAAGCACATAAGAGATGTTACACACATAAAAACGATACATGTATATAAAATGATTATTGTATGATAAAATCATTTGTGGTAAATTATTACATAAAAAGCATAAAAGTAGAATTTATATTCTGTGGCGATTTCAAATTGTCGATCTGTTTTCTCCTGTTTTGGACCTTCTATCTATTCATTTAAATATTCATTGTTCTGTGGCAAAAGGAAAATCACATGATATATAAAGTATTTCATTTGCATCAAACAAGTTTAAGTACCTGAAATGCTAATTTAGTTCTAGTAAATAAAAATTATGTATGTATAAGTGAAAGAATGAACAGAGAATTTTTTACATGTACAGCGAACGCCGTACGCCTTATTGTTTGTGCCGCAGCAATTAGTCATACAAACATCTTTCAATTTTCTTCAAAGATTGATTGTGAATTTTTTAAAGTCGACAAAATACACAAAATACGTATTGTTTGATTCTAGCATTATAAGATTGTTCTTTAAAGTGATTAGATTCATAAAATTCAAATTCTGTCAAAAATAAAATAAAATACAAAATAAAGCCAATTAAAGTAAAATGATTTGCATAAATGACCCGCCAGAATTTAAAGTTTAACCGCCTGTTTTGATAGGAGGAATTAAAGAAACGATGATGTGATAATTTTTTTTTTAATAATAAAGTTTGAATAAACCCTATTTTGGGCCGATAAAGTTCTCAATTTTTTTGTGTTTGAGAAATAATGATGCGAAAAAGAAGGGAGATTTCTATCTTTTCTACCTTATAGTCTCGCTACAAGCTGCAAGTTCAACATGATTCAACGACGATCGATCTTTTTTTTTTTTTTATCAACGGGTTTTCAATTTTTATGTTCCGTGTTTAGATATAGAATTACTAATGTGGGATTGCAACGTAAGCAAATATTTAAACTTTAAAAAAAAAAAATTCAAAACTTGTTTCATCTTGAGAATCTATAAAAAAAAAAGATTAACCTGTCTAAAAATAAGTAAAACAAAGATATCACGCAAAAAAAAATCATGAATTCAACTCAAAATATATTTTCGGTATTAAAGTTACTTTCAGATTGCTATTATAATAACTCTTCAATATTGATGAGTAATCAAAATCACCTTGAAAATAGGCTTCTTGTTGTCCTAAAAGAGGTAAATCACTCTGATCATTGTTTCAATTGTGGGTTTATTGTCAACTTTTTTTTATTCTGATATTCCCTGATATTGTTTTTTCCGTTTCATTCATCTTTTAACAAGACATTTTCTTTGGATTATGAGCCACAATGGTACAATCAGATTAAACAAGTTATTATATCTTCTGAAAATGAGATATGTTTAAAAATGAATGCGCCACATGATAAAATAAATTTGCAGATTTTTCTAGATTTATTCAAAAATATGTGTAGAATTCTCGGAGGTACATGTGATTTCATAATTTTCTTTTCAATTATGGAAATTTCTTAAAATTAAATTATTAGTTAAACTTTATTTAGAAGTTATTATTTAGTATTAACATTTATTCTAATTTACTAGATAAAATTAAATTATGCTCTCATTCATCATCCTTATCACAACATTCCAAATGCGGCAATTCGATTATGGGCTCTGAAAAAAATATCGAAACACAATGTCCATTTTCTTCGATTTTAAAGATTTTTACATTTATAATTAATTGTCAATTAGATATTCTCCTTTCTAGTCGATCGCCATCATCTGAATTTCATAAATTAATTTCAACAATTGATCAATTTGTGTGTAAAGAATTATTCGGTCAAGATATTTTACTAGAACATCAACAACAACAGCAAAAAACGGATAAAAACTGTACAATTTGGTGGATTTCTTGGTTTTACGAAAGTTCTTGGAATAATGACTTACTTTCTAATGGAAATTTGCACCATTGTAAGTTTATTTTAGAGACGTTGTATATTTTTCACGTGACGTTAATTTCCTTCTTATTTAAAAAGTGTTTGACATTACGGACATTGTTATCGATATTCTTGGAAGATATATTCCTAAACTTAATAAAGAAGCAGAAATAAGCTTGATTTCAAAAGAAAATGAACAACAGAAAGATGATTCGCGAGAAATTAGAAAAAATTATTATGTCCTATTGAGCGAATTGTTCGTAAAAATGATACAAATTACTATTCGATCTTTGGATGAAGTCTTAATTCCCATTATTATGGTATTAAAAAAAAAATAATTTGATCTATCTTATTAGATCATTTTGATTTTAAAATTATTTTATAGGTTCATGTTGAGTCGATGAAACAAAGTGGTCTTGCCGAAAATGCTGATATAAATATTATAGCGTTGAAAATATTGATAAAGTTGTTTGAAATACCATCAATTTCTCAAATCATAGTAGAAAATACACAATTACGTGAACAAGTTGAAAATTGGAAAAAATCATATGCCTGCAAATTAGGTAATTTAAATATTTATAGCGATAATTTCATTCTTTCTAATTAATAGTTATTTTACTTGATTCTAGTGAAAAGTGGAATTATCAGAATTGTACTGGAACAAAAATTTACGACAAAATTTACAAACTGCAATTTTGAAGTATTTGACTCATTTATTATTGTTATCATACGCATTTTAGCCGGTTTCCAAAGCGAATATCGTCACGTGATAAATAAGAAAGGAAATATTATTCCTCATAATATAGCATTCGCGAATTTACCGCGTAAGTTTATGTAAAAAGTAATACGTGACTTAAATGCATTATTTATTTATTATTATTTTATAATTTAATATTTTATATTATTTAATAAGCAAACATTTCGAATATTCTTTCAATTCTTGCAAATGATTCAACAAGAGAAACGATCCAATTGAAGCAACAATTAGATAGAACGTCTCTTGCTATTCTTTTCGTATCTGTCACGTGTGGTGACCAAATGTAAGAGAATACGAATCATCTTTCAACAAATTAATTGCTTGTAATAACATATATAACATAGAATGAAAGATTCGGATAATGAGTTGTCAGCGTCATTAATTTATCAAACTTTAACGAAATTTATAACGAAATATCTTTCTTTGGATTTTCTTTACGGGATTTCTATGATTCATTTTTTATATTTATTTATCGTAAGTCGGAATTATTAGTAAATTTCTCATGAAAACAAAAAATATTAATAAAAATCTTTAAATTTTTAGACATTTGAAGCTGGAAGTAATAATTTGTCTGGTACAATATTATAATTTACTGATACTGTATTATATAGTATTACATATTTTTATTAATATCTATACGTATATATGTAGAATTCAAACCATATACATATTCAAAAATTTTATCTGGACTTCAAGCGACCTTTACAATACGAGAAAATGAAACAATTTCGTTTATTGAACAATTATTTTTTTCTTACGATTATGTTTTTATGCCATGGATTTGGAGGGTTGTTGAGGGAAGTTGGAATTTAAAAGGATTTGTGGCTAGCCTAGTAAGTAAAATTTAGAATCAAAATAATTTGACAAGTAATTGTATATGTTGCCATAGAAATAACAAAATTGTTTCTTCATCTGCATAAAGATGAACAGATGGTTATTTTTTCGATTTCAAACTTATTATCAGTTAGACATTGACACCATGATTCATCGTGAAATACGTGTAAATATAAAAAAAGATTTCGAACGAGAATTTATTAAAGTAGGAAAGCTTTTATTTAAAAATACTTTCGCTGCGAAAATCTTATTGGTAAGTGATTTATTCTAAAAAAATTGCACAATAGTAATTATAATTTTTTTAATAAACTTATTTGTATATTTTTCATTGAAAAGATGACATTCTCAAATTTGGGATTGCACAATGATGATAACGGAAAAATTGGAATTACGCGATTATTTATGATAATAACTTCGATCTTTTTTTGTATTGTTATTTCTCATTATAATCAATTTGATTATGTGCAGAGTTTGGAAGAGGAAAAAGTTTTGATGACAAATGTATCAAAATTTTGGATAGAAATGATAAAATTAATAGTTGCGCCTAACATTATCGAAAATACTCCTACTGACTGTACGTTTGCAATCACGTGACATTATTTTTTTCGCGGGTATTAATAAAATTGTTCTTTTTTTTTTTGTAGGGTGGCCGATTGTCAATATCATTGTATTGACCTTGGGATATCATTTTGATAGCGCAATTTTGAGTGGAACGATAAATTTAGCTGGAGGTATGATAATTATTATATTATTATATGATATAACACGTGATTTATAAATTTCATTTATTTTCTAGTCTTGGATCATACGCTTAAGTACGTATATCATTTTTCGATTCATTGGATCAAATCCATTTAATGTTTAACTTAACCTGAATTATTATATATTATATATAAAGAATATTACAGGATATCAATAAAACTGATGAAATAAATATAAATAATCCCGAAAAAAGTGAGAAATCGGCGCGTCTTATGATGATATCTCATTTTCTAATGATATTTTCTTGTATGAAAAATGAAACTGGTAAAACTGGTATGCATTATAATGAATATAACTTGAATAATATATAGTATATGTATTTATACATATTATCTACAAGTTGCACAAGAGATAAAACAACATCCAATTTTACTTTCTACTCTTCGACAATGGACTTTTAATAAAGAAAATATTAATATGGTAGAAATAGCCGGGAACGACACAATTTATAATGAAGTTAAATCTTCAATTATTGGATTATTGTCTTTAACAATTTCTACAGACTTGAATGATCAACAACAGGTTAGTGTAATGGTTGTTTATAGTAAGGAAAAAGGTTCATTTATTGTACCTATTTCAATAGGTGTTTCCTACAATATATGAACTTGAAGCAATTGTAGATGAGTTTAAAAGAGAACCATCGTTGTTAGCCGGTAAGTTACGTTTATAATGAATTTTCGTTTACGGCAACCCTATTTCTAAAAATTTTTACTCTTTTAGGGCATCTATGCACAATTGTTTCATCTGGATCATTGTCTATGACGGGAGAATTTAAACAAAAAATGCGATTGATGTTTATTAATATATGGAGTATGTTGCGAGATTTTATTGTTTCAGAGGTAAATCATATTTGCAATTTTGGTCGTATTTTTCTTAATTTTGAGAACTTTTTAAAATTATTTTTAGATTGATAATCATTTTACGTGGCTTATGCTTTCTCCTGTTACAAATGCATTTGAAATAATGATCGAACAATGTGATGCTAATTTAAGCAAGTATTAAATTTAAATTTCTGGTTATTTATTATGTTCTTAAATCTTCAATTAATGAGTTGTTAATTTTTTTATAAGGTAATTATTTAGCAGAAAACAGATGGAATTGTTATATGTTAAAAACTATAATACAATACGTTATATTCCATTGCCAGAAGGTAGATCATATTTGTAAAAATTGTTCGCATGTTATATTTCATCAACAACTTTTACGTGGACTTGTTCGTATGACTAAATATGTATGTATATAATTATTTTTATTATATTTTTATCGTGTATTTAATAAGTTTTGGTTTTTTTATCCTTCTAGTTTGTCACAATAAAAGCTTCATGGATAAAATTAATTTTCACAGAGAATATTATAAAATTTTTTATTTCTTTGATTAAAAATATTATTGAAGAACAAAAGATTGATTTCATATTTTTAGAAACCTTATTACGAATGTTATACCAGGTAAAATTAAACTAATCAAATTATTCTTTTTTAAACTTTTACCTTATATTTTTATAAATAATTTGCATTTAAGCTTCATGAAAATTCTTTACTTTCTGACTCTCAACGAATTAAAATTCACGCGTTAATACATCCCATATACGAAGAATCACGAATGTCTAGCATAATGAAAACTTCGATTCATCAAAATACGATAATACCATTCGATCATATATTTATTATGGTCAGGTAAAGAGCTTTACAAGTTATGAGAAAACTTAATTTGGATAAAAATTAATTAATTGAAATAACAAACTTTTTTTTTCTAAAGGCCTTATCCAAATTATCAATTCAAATTATTTTCTTTGGGAAAAGAAAATAGAATCGACGAAGACTTGGAAAGATTTTGAATTTATAATTTTATTGACAATAACGACGTAAAAAATGATTGATTAAGACGAAACTCAAGTTTAATAATAAAAAATAAAATTATATTTAAGAACTTATGCTCTTTTAAAATATCTTAAATCATTTAAAGTAATGACAATTTTATCACCAACGTTTACAAATTCTGGAACATTAATTTGAATTCCATCGCGTATTTCTACTACTTTAACAGCTGTCCCTTTAGAAGCGTTACCAACAATTGGTGTTGTACCAATAACTACATATGCGTGCATTTGAGGAAGACGAAATGAAATTGGACTTAAACCTTTCTCTGTTTCTAAAAATGAAACCGTAACTTTCATATCATCTACAAAGAAATATATATAATTAACATATAATAAAATGATTATTATAATTAAAATTAATTTATAGCTTAAATATTTACCTTCCAATAATTGTAAATGCTTTTCATTACCTGTAAAAACAAAATTATGAAGCCATAAAGTAAATTAGATCAATCGATATTATAAAATAACAGTACCTTCAACTTTATCGACATCAATTTCAATTTCTTCATAAGTTTCAGGATTAGATAAATATACTTTCTTTTTATCAGAGTATAAGTATGTATAAAGTTTATCATTAAGAGTTGACACTAAAGACATGAAATTATGTTAGGATCATTCTATAGGATTCGAAAAAGTAAGTTTGGATTACCTTCAAATGATTCATTAGGTCTTACTCTTTCCACAATTATTTTACCGGTTATAATATCTTTTAATTCGAACTATCCTGCGAAACAAGAATTCGTAAATTATTTTTAAAATATAAAATAAATACTAATAAAAGTTACCTTAGTTGTCGCACTTCCTCTCCCTGTAAAACGCGAATCTATCTTTGTTACCATATATTGTTTATTTTTATGTTTTATTACATTTCCTTTATTAATTTGGTTAGCTGTAGTTTTATATGCTCGAGCATATTTTCGCTAAAAAAAAAAATTTCCGAATTAAATCAGTAATTGATTAAGAATAATTATATTCGTGAAATTACCAAAGTACTATTTAAAAGTATTGTATTCGGTTTAATGGATAAAAGACCGAACTTTATGATATTTATGGTATTCATGTTTTTTGAGATCAAAAATTTTTTTAAAAAAAAGATATAAATTCGTTTTCATACTAAATTTGGTAAGTACAATTTTTAACCCAATCAAATTTCAAAATTAATAATATATAAATACGTAATTCATATCTATTTTTTTTTACTTCTTATTTTCTAACAAATTATGGGTAGAGAAGGTATAAAGAACTACTATCGGACAAAAATTGAAGAAGCGGAGCTGACAATTAATGAAAAGACACAAAATTTAAGGCGTTTGGAAGCGCAAAGAAATGCATTGAACGCTAAAGGTATGTTAGTTAACAAAATTTGGCATGATTAGTAAATGTCGAATTTTAATAGTAAAAAATTCAAAAGATTCTGAAAATTTTTTTCCAATTTTTCATTTTCCTTAAATGAAATATACTAGTTCGATTGCTTAGAGAGGAACTACAGCTTTTGCAAGAACCCGGATCATATGTTGGTGAAGTAGTTAAACTTATGGGAAAGAAAAAAGTTCTTGTTAAAGTACATCCAGAAGGAAAATATGTTGTTGATATTGCTCCAGACATTGATATCAATCAAATCACACCAACTTGTAGAGTTGCTCTTCGCAATGATTCATACACACTTCACAAAATTTTGCCTAATAAAGTTGATCCACTTGTCTCATTAATGATGGTTGAAAAAGTACCAGATTCAACGTATGAAATGGTAGGAGGATTAGATAAACAAATTAAAGAAATAAAAGAAGTTATAGAATTACCAGTAAAACATCCTGAATTATTCGAAAGTTTGGGTATCGCTCAACCTAAGGTACGATATGTTGATGTTTAATATACAGTCAAATCCGATATAACGATATGTTGGATCCATATGAAAATCTTGAAAAATATCGTTATATCGAATTATATAGTGGGAAAGTAAATTTTATCGTTATATCGAGTTTTTAATGTATATCGGTATATCGAATATCGGTATATCGAGGTCTGACTGTAAATATAAAAATTTTTTGCTTTTATGATAAATTATTTTAGGGAGTTTTGTTATATGGACCTCCTGGCACTGGGAAAACTCTACTGGCACGTGCTGTTGCTCATCATACAGATTGTAAATTCATTCGTGTTTCCGGTTCAGAGTTAGTGCAAAAATACATTGGAGAAGGAAGTCGAATGGTCAGAGAACTATTCGTTATGGCAAGGTATAAGTCTTTTATTTTTAGGAAGATATTCAATTTTTAGGAAAAAATTTTTGTACAAGATTAATCTAAAATTTTGTAGAGAGCATGCACCATCTATTATATTTATGGATGAAATTGATTCGATTGGATCTTCACGTATAGAGTCAGGTTCAGGAGGAGGTGATTCGGAAGTGCAAAGAACAATGTTAGAATTACTCAACCAGTTAGATGGTTTTGAACCAACAAAAAATATTAAGGTAACCAAGTATATGATATTTGCAATAATTCATATTTATTATACAAGTATCTAATTAAATTTATGTAGGTTATTATGGCAACAAATCGTATTGATATTCTTGATCCAGCGCTGCTGCGACCTGGTCGTATTGACAGAAAAATTGAATTCCCTCCACCATCTGAGGCTGTATGTAATAATTTAAATTCATAATGATTAAATGGTTTTTAAAGAAAAAAATAAATATATTTGATTTTACAGGCACGTGCTGATATTTTAAAAATTCATTCGCGTAAAATGAATTTAACACGTGGGATTAATTTACGTAAAATAGCAGAGAAAATGACAGGATCTAGTGGTGCCGAAGTCAAGGCAGTTTGTACGGAAGCAGGTATGTATGCTCTTCGAGAACGTCGCGTGCATGTAACACAAGAAGATTTTGAAATGGCGGTAGCTAAAGTTATGAAGAAAGGAGAAGAACAAAATGAAAGTTTACGAAAACTTTGGAAGTAATGGATAAATATTATAGGTGTTGTTTAGATAGTGTTATTTTCTATTGTGATAATAAAACGAAGATTTACAGACATAATTTATTATCATTTAATTTGAAATAATGATCAACGAAAATGTATGTGATTTTCTCATTTAATAATAATTATAGAAATTAGTACTCGATGAAAAATTCAAAAAATCAAAAAAAAAAAAATTTTAATCCTAATTATTTCAATATAAATATGGTTTTGAATGAAATTTTGAAACTCGGAACCCTTTGTATAAAAATTTATACCACGTGGATTGACCTTTTTGACTAGACCATGGTGTCAACTCTTTTACTTTACCCATTGAAGTATATTAGTTGTAATATTATATAAAGCAATTCTAAATATAGAAACAAACATATAATCTAGATTGACCTTTTAAAATAGATATTTATATTTATTTATTTAATAAATTGCTTAATTATTTATTATGATTTTCCACTTGGCTTTTCTTTTTTATAAGACCACATTTTTATCATTGGTTAACATATGTAGTATTACGTTAAATTAGTGTAAACTTGAAAATGAATAAATAGAAGTCTTTGTGAGCTTTTTTCAAGAACTAAAAAAAATTTTCAAAACTTACGAAAAAAAAAAAAATATTTAATTGTATGTAATATAAGCGATAAAAATAGTAATCATTTGATTCCCTTTTTTACATTAAGAAGTTTTTAATCGACAATCGATATTGAGGTATGTACGGTAATTTGTGTGTACACTGAATTAATGCTGTGTCCTCTGTGTTTCTTCTTTTTATTACCACGTTTGTTTAATGTCTTAAATTTAATTGGCAAACATCGAAGATTTTTATTTCCGTTCATTTTTCCGTAATTGTATTATTTAGTTTTAGAAATTATTTTTTGTTTTGGCTCTTTCTTTTGTTTCCTTCCTCAAAAAAAAAAAAAAAAAAAAAAAATTTTTTTCCCCTTTTTTTTTCCCCCGACGTTTTTTTTTTTTTTTGATGCTTTTGGGATTTTTTTCTGGAGTCGGGTCGGATATTATCCTGTGTCAGGACACATTATAATACACTCCTTACCTTTTGAGTCTATTACTTTTTTTGTTAAAAAATTTAACGCCGAATATAGACGTTTTGCCAACTACCCCACACTAGCTTTTTTTCTATATTTTCCCGCACCTGACTCAAAAAGAAAATCCTTATAAAAACCTCGTCTTTTGCCCTTTTTCACTCACATACATACTTATATATATTGATATATATATGTACTTGTATATACCTTTTTAGATTTCCTTTAATACGATTTTCCTTTCCTCATTTCGCTCGGGCCACGGTTTAGTTAGCTCTTTTCAGCTAATAATACTGTAGAACGTTTTTTCTTTCGATATTCTCTCCTGTTATATTTCAAGTATTTTACGAACGGAGTGATAAACGGACGATAAAAGTTCTACTACATTTTTTAACATCTAGAGATTGTTTAATCAATAAACACCTCTTTTGATAAAAAAATATTTGTACAGCTGGACTGTTCAAAGCTTTTTAATAATATTTATAATATTCCAAGCATATAATTTTATATCCTTTCTAAGAAAAAAAATTCCCTTGTAATCCAAAGTTCTTCAAATTATAATTGATATTTAGCAGTCAGAAAAAAAGAAAAGAAAAAAAAAAAATTTTTTTTTTTTTAGGAATTTGGAAAAATTTGCACTAAAGGTGTTGACCTCTAAATTACATGACCAGCGCAGTAAAAAGATCATATCCGTTCGGTTCCCGACCATCATCTTTGGTAGAAGATACAAATCAATTCAAAGTTCCTCAAGCTCCTTTACACAAAAAAATGTCGATGGCTCCTCCAAGTATTAATGTATCTGTTGATGGTTCAACTTCATGGAAATTGTCAAATAGGACGGCAACATTTACGAAACAAGATAACCAAAATAATTTAACTATTGCTGCAAGCAATGATACTATAAATCAAAATGGTTCGACAGGTGAAAAAAGTCCTTTACCAAGTCCCCCTTCTTCAAAGGGACGTAGAAATATGAAAAATTTACAATTAGTTGTACCTCCAGTTCGTTCTTCAATTTCAGCTCCTTCTTCGCCTCAATTACCTCCAAATTCCACGACTCATACACATAATAGACGTCCTTCAACTCCTATATGTGTATATCAGAATAAAGGACCTTTGAACTCTAATGTAGCAGATCCAATGGTATTAATTTCAAAGACCGAAAATGCAATCGGAGATGATTTGCCATATAAAGATGAACCCATACAAATTTTACCAAATTTATATCTTGGTTCCGAAATAAATGCTGCAAATCGTTCGATGCTTAATAGACTTAATATCGAATTTATTTTAAATGTTGGGAAAGAAGTTGAAAATCCATATCTTGAAGAAATTACGAATGCAAACTCTTCATATTTTGCTGATTCTTTTCATCAAATTTCACCAGGACTTCAAACAAATTCTTCAGTTTCATCAGAAGATAGTTTTTCCACAGCAATTCAATCACCTTTGAATTTTTCAATGCAACTTGATTCACCAATTGTACCTCCTTCTCCATTCGGTGCTTTAAGGTCAAATTCTTCATTACAGAAACGAGTTTCGGCACGTTCAAATTCTTTGCAGTTGGCTCATGGAGCTATGTTATCAGGAATTCCACTTGTAGTTCCTGCAACTTCAGATTTTAAACCTTTGAAATATAAAAAATTCTTTTGGACTCATAATCAAGAAAATCTTATTGCTGATTTTATACCTGCGTTTGCATTTATTGATGAGGCTCGTTCAGCTGGTAGAAATATTCTTGTTCATTGTCAATGTGGTGTTTCACGTTCAGCTTCACTTATTATTAGCTATGTGATGAAAGTTAATAGAATGACTCTTAATCAAGCTTACGAATATGTCAAAGATAAAAGTCCTTATATTAGTCCGAATATGAGTCTTGTTTATCAATTGGTGGAATTTGAAAAAACTTTGAAATTGGGGAATAATAATAACAATAATGTGTTGCCTAGCTCTCCAACTCATGGAAAGGGTGATTTAAAGAGAACACATTCACGTAGTTCAAGTATAGAAAGCGAGCTGCTTTTAATAAGCCATCGTCGTAGCAATAGTCTCTCCAGAGGAAATTTAAATAGTAATAATAGTAATAATAGTAATGACTCTCCACCAAAAACTCCTTTATTTGCTCCTGAAGGGTTATTGACCATTCCACAACAGCAGCAGCAGCAACAACAAACTACTGTGAAAGGTGGAACTGGAAGGTTTCATGTTATCACGGCATCCATCGCCCCCGTATCTCCATCTTCATTGTCACCTGCTTCTTCAGTGTCGCCAACAAGTACGGGTTCGCCAACAACTCCATCAAGTGAAACATCTTCACCTACAACTAGTTCAAGACGGATTTCAAGACCTCCACCTTTATCATCAAAGAAAAGTAATTCATCTTTGACCACATCAAAAAATTCTTCTCGATCTTCATATTCTTCTGCAGATCGAACCCCCCTTTCACCGAAAGAAGTTATCAATGCTCAGATGTCACCGAAAGTCGTTTCTAATTCAAAGACTGCAATTACAAATACGAATAATTCTTCTACTTCAAATGATGCGGACCCTTTCGTTTCTTTCAGTAATTTTGGAAATAATTTTGATTCTTCTAAATCATCAAATATTTCTTTTCATTCTTATGATAAAACCCGTATTGTTAATCAAAGAAGTCACGAAGTATTATCAGGACCTAATTCAGGAATATTTAGTAAATCCACTTTGGACAGTATATTTTCACCAACGAGAGTTTCTCCCCCTGTTACTCCTGTTGCAATTCCCGATTTGTTTACGGATGATGAATAAAAATTTTTTTTAAATTTTAAAACAACATTGGGTCGGGTCGTTATTTATTTTATTTTTAATGATTTATAAACATTAATTTGTGACAAAATGTGAGAAATTTATATAATGTAATTCTGCAATCATTTTATAATATATTGAAGAGCAACATATGTAATGAGATGATTTTTAGGTTACTATGTACAAAAATTTTATTCTCTAGAAAGTATTCATTCATTTATATAGAAATAACTTAATTTATGATTGAAGTGTTAAAAGCTTTAGAACGTTAAATGTGAAAGAATGTTAAACTAATCATTGCACGAATTGAAAGGATATTGTTGACTTGATCATTGTAAAATAAAAGTTGTAAATATCTTTTATATATGTATTGCCAATTAGTTTATTTATACAAGTCTTTTGGTTTGGTTATTTGCATTTGTTTTAACAGTATATACTGAATTATATCTTTTGACAGATATTAAGACTTTATAGAAGAATCTTTGCTTTACCTATAAGCAATCTTAATTACTGTGTCTTTTTTTAAACTCTGCAGCAATTTCCACCTTTATTTTATTTATAAAAATAAAATTTCTGTTTTGGATAGCATTGATATTACGGTTTCATAAAGTTTATATCAGATAAAGCAAACTTTGTGTTTATCATTTGATGAGAAGAAATGAGCAAATATTCTTATATAGGTAAATCCTTTAATTTTAAACTATTTTATATAAAAAGATAAAATGAACATTAAAGAAAAAAAATGTATAATATTTTCAAATTTACTAGTTTTTGCAAGTATTAATTTGCATTAACTTCTCAATAGTAATTATAAAAGGATAAATAGATTTATTTTATTAAGATATTTCTTAAATAACTTAGAGATAATGTATAGTAAAATGCATTTTTAAATGTAATTTTATTACCATTGGATTCATCTTATTAAGATGGATCCAATAAACTTAAATTTGTCAAAATCCGATTACTGAATCTATGGTTGTTTGTCTAAACTTCTTCAAAAACCTACGATTAGTTTCGTCAAAATTTTACTATAGATTTATTATAGTTTCGGCAGAGTTTCGGCAGTTTCGGCATTTATAATAAGTTTCGGCAGTTTCGCCTTTCTCCAAAGTTTCGCCAGTTTTTTAATATAACTTTAATATAGTTTCGGCAGAATTTCGCTTTTCGGCGAAATGCCATCTTGCCTAAACCCCTAGGTTTCGGCAAGCAACCTTAACTGAATCACTTAGAAATAGGTATATAAAATAAGAAATTTTGAAAATATCCCATTTTATATATAGTAAAAAAAGATTTAAAATAGGATTTTGAATAATATATAAATAAATTAACTATAAAAGTTACTTATTTTAGAGGTATTTTTCAAATTTTTTATTCTATTTACTCCTGTTTTTTAAATAATCTACTGATTTAAATTCATTTAATAAAAGAAATTTAATAATAGTAAAATTGTATTTTTAGTACTAATATTAATTGAATTATTATAAATTAAAAAATTTAACTATATATATATTTACTGAGTTAGATAAAAGATATTTAAATTATTATTCAAATTATAAAAATACATATGTTGTTTACTTAGAATTCTGAATAATATATAGATAAATTAATTATAAAAGTTATTTATTAGTTACAGTTGACTCCCTTTATAGTTACACCCCTCAGAACTGAAAAAAAAGGATGTGATTATAAAAAAGTCATATGTTGTGACTACAAAAGAGGTTTTTCTAATATATTTATTAGTACATTGGGCCAAAATATGGTGTGCTTATAAAGGGGAATTTTATATGATGTAATTATACAGGGGGTGACTATATAAGGAGTCGACTGTATATGAAATTTTTATTTTAGAAGTATTTTTTCAAAATTTTCATCCTATATATATATAAATAATTAGGGTTTCTTAAAATTAAATTATATAAAGCTAATTTGAATTTGTCAAATCAAATTAAATTTAAATCATATTAAATATTTATCAAATTGACTAATTAAATTAAAGAATTTTCAAATCAAATCAAATTCAAATTAAACTGATTTGAATTTGTTAAATTCAAATTAAATGTCAAATATTAAATCAAATTGCAAAACCCTATAAATAATATATATTATATAAAATATTTTGAAATTTAGTATAAATAATTAAATATTTTGACAATTAGTAGTATAGCATTTAGGTGACTTAGTAAATTAAGTCAAAATATATTAAATCTTTTAAATCTTATAATAAAGTCACCATCATATATTGCATTACTTAACAACATTTCACTATAGAAGTATTAAAAGTATAAAATTTTTTATTTTATTAATACTGAAATATTATTTATTAAAAAATTTCACTATAGATAATGTTAAGGTTGCTTGCCGAAACCTAGGGGTTTAGGCAAGATGGCGTTTCGCCAAAAAGTGAAATTCTGCTAAAACTATATTAAAGTTATATTAAAAAACTGGCAAAACTTTGGAGAAAGGCAAAACTGCTGAAACTTATTATAAATGCTAAAACTGCCAAAACTCTGCCAAAACTATAATAAATCTATAGTAAAATTTTGACAAAACTAATCGTAGGATTTTGAAGAGGTTTAGACAAGCAACCTTAGATAATGTTTTTATTTAGTATTTTTAGTCATCATTAATAAAAATTTTAATGTATTGATATGAAGTAATTCTTGACAAAGCAATATATAGTTGACTATATAAAAAATTCAATTATAGTAAATAGAAATCTATATGGTTATTGACTGTTATGAAAAATACATGTAGTAGAAATTGGTAACATTTTAAAACAAAGGGTATAAAAATACAACTACTAATATGTAGATTTGTCATAGTTTCTGTATTGATTACTTTGCTATGAAGATTATAACAAATTAATTAAATTCTATTGCAAAGTCCTTGAAAAGAATTTAGATTTCGTAAGAATATGATCAGAACTCTCATTTTTAATTTTAATTCATCAGGCAAAAAGCTAAAAATTCTTAATGATCTTAAAAATTCTGGTGAATATAATTAAAGCTGTTTCATGTTATTATCATCTATTAAATTTACAGAGTATGTACAAAAATTCACCTGAAAATTGGTTAATTATTAGAAAGAAAATAGCATATTGCTAAAATTTTTGATTAAGTTTGGATAAATAAAATATTATAATTAATAAGATCTAATAATTTTTCTTTAGGAATTACCATATTTGAAGAATGGTCCATTATGTTTATTATGTTATTTATATCTAGAATAACAGAATATTTGCTATTGTTAATTTTCAAAAGAAATTTAGCAAAATTTCTTTATTTTAGGTTTTCATAAATATCATCAGTTTGATAAAATCTTATATTAATCAACAATTTTATCATTTTCATATTTCTTCATAAATATAAATAACTTAAGTTTGCAAAAACAACTTCAGTGTGAAAGGCATAAAGTATGACTGAAAGAATTTAACAAAGATTACTTAAATATAAAGACTTTACTACTATTTACTTGAGTAATATCAATTAAATGTTTCAAATATAAATTTATGAATTATAGGAATTTTATCCTAAATAAAAAAATAATTAATTGGACTTCTTTGCTATTTTGTAAAATACTACATATTGAAAATTCATTTAATTTAAGTGGAATTTTGAATTAACTATATGCAGTTTTACCACTCATCATCAAAAGAATGGTAATACCAAATGATGCTATTACTATACAACTACAGCAATTTCAAATTTTACCAAATAATTTAATTAGAGCTCTGAACAGTTTTGGTTTGAACCAAGAACCGATTTGAAACTGAACAAAAATTCGGTTCAGTTTTCAGTTCAGTTTTGAAACCAGAACCGTTTGGTTTAGTTCAGTTCTATTTTATTTTAAGAAAAAATGCAAAAATCGAAATAACTCAGCAACCAGTGATTGTATAAAAACATGTGCAATACTAGCGATAAAATCATATCTATTAATCCTAAAGAAATAATCTTAGCATCATTTAATAGGTCTTAATGAACTGAATCTAATGAGCCCTTTTTCATTTTTTTTGATCACTACATAATGAGTTATCTTAATTTTTGCATTTTTTTAAACTTTTGAACGTCAAAAAATAAAAATTCCGATCTAAGATATAACCCATCTTTTACTGATTGTATTGAAAGTTGAAACAA